GATAATCCTACTATATATAACACGCTGAATGTGTTTGTTGGTCCTGTTATGCATCGGTGTGTGTTTGATCGGAAAATCATACTTGCTACTCTCGTGGGCCTGAAGCCTTTAAATATGGCATGGGTAAAGACGGCAATATGGCAAGCAGAAGATAGGTGATACGACTGGACTCCGCATACAGGTGCACGGCATTCACGAATATTGTTGATCAGTCGTGTAAATGAAAATTGTTAATTAAATCTAGATCTTTCAAATTTGATGATAGGAGTACAGACAGCAGTATGAGGATGTCCATGAAATGTGGCAAGGCTAGACTCTGCCAACGGAGGGCGAGGCGCGCACGAATATTTCAATTTGTGCGTTTGGAAGGTAGTTCAATTCAAGTAAGGATAATGGCAACAGGGTCGGAACACTGATGGCAGATGATAGAGCTAAACTCTGCTTGGCGGAGTGGGGCAGATTCGAGTCTTACCACCTGCCATCAGTGTACGAACATTGTGATTCGAATCAAGAAACTTCAAACTTGGTAAGCTCATGGATTGGGGTAGGGAGGGGGGCACGAAATAAGTCGGTGTTGTGTGTGTGTGTTTCGCATAAAATGAATAATCCTAATGTCTTGAACCAGAAGGTCCCTACTTGGAGCAGTGCAGGTGACGGCAACGAGCCGGGGATACGCACTGGTCGGATTTATTAGGGACAAAAAATTGGTTATTCATCATGAAAATGGTCTCTGTAGATAAGGATTCTAACAGATCTAAAAAATCATGAAGTTTCTAGTAGTGCTTAGCATACTTTAAATGAGAACCTATTGAGCAGAGCTGCTTGAGCCGCTCTCTGACGGAATCGACGTACCTCAACCCTAACACGTACGACTGTTTGAATTGCTCATAACAGTCCCCATATCCGCTGATTGATGTTGCCGATATTGTTATCTTAAATATTAGAAATTCAATTCCAATCAATGTAAACTACTATTTTTGGAGGATTCGTATTCCTGAACTAATTGAATGGGCCACCACATGGAATCACTGTGATCAAGAGATTGTATATTGGGGTTGCGATATTCGTGTATGAGTTTAAGAGGGCCCAAGTAATCCAACAGTGAATAAAGGAGTCTGAGAAAACAAAAGCACTACGGGAATCTTGCTCCTCAATGAAAGTTCGTTGAAGAGAGTAAGCCATGCGTCAAAACCAGCTTGCTATTCACGCGCTCTTTATGATCCCGCACTATGTAATCTAGAATTTGTTATTAATTAATGTTAAATATTCGAGGATTTAAATGCCTCAAATGTGAAGGCGATCCCAATAAACTCGGCCGTGATTACTCCGTTTTTCTAATTTCTCTGCCTTCAAACAACGTGTAAACTCTTTACTCTAGCGCTTGGAGAACCTTTTGACAGCTTCTCTTACTAAACCAGATCATCGTGGGATATGACTTCAGAAAAAGTACCTCATCATAGATCATTGGATCGTCAAAAGTAGTGTCGAAAAGAAGATTCCTATTTGATTGTAGTTGACGTTTGAACACCCCGTGGATGGAGCTGTCAATTTGGCAGGCGCGAAGACCATCTGAAAGTATATCTGTGAGCGTTCCGGTAGTTCGATTCGAACAGGCATTCAAAATTTAATGGTAAAGCTTTTTAGATGGTCTGGCTGTAATGGCATCGTGGATTGGGAATGGGTGTGATGAAGGTGGGATAAACCCAGGGGGAGCTTCTAGTATATGGAGTCCGATAAGCTAATAAAATACAGTGGTAACTGGTGAAACAATAGATTGTTTCCTCAAAACTATGAAATTGTTGCCGTTCCTTTTTCTTTTCTCATTGGGCACCAGTATGGACTAGAAATACTCAAAGGAAGCTTTACAGATCTAATATTATCGAATGTTCGAAAATTCTTCTCGGGATTATTATCGTTGTCGGATCTCTTAAAGTGGGATGCATTGTCTCGGACGCATACCTAATGAGGATGAAGAATAACTGCTGCTACGGAAGAGGGGAGGACAAACAGTACAAAATGACTGTCCCTAAGAGCAGTATGAGCGTCACTTAGTTCGAAAATCTAACAAATTGAATCAAAAATTGAAGTTGACGATTATGTAGCTGCTAAACCATGCTGATGCCTGTGTATGCTGCATAAACTTTGACCAAGTTGATTTCAAGGAATTCCTGGCAGAACTTATTTACATTTCGTTTTCCATTTCCTTCATTTTTTTACTTTCAAAACCCGACATTGGGAAACAAAGCAATCTTTTAACAGTGATGAAGACCGTATGGAGAAGTACCCAAAAACCGAGCACATCAGCGACCAATCTTCAAAGTCCCTTGAGCAATTAAAAGGATGGGTTCTGACCGTTAGGCAAGTTCTGACCGTTCGAAGGATGTTAGCTTATCTTGAAACTGCAGCAGAACCCTACTTCATTGACGTATGAACTTTTTCAAAAATGAAGCCATTAACCGGGAAACTAATTAGCGCAACTGTCCACAAATACTACATTTCCACCAGTTGGAGTGAAATGCAAAGTTAATGTGGTTCTGTGAAGTGTCGCGGCTTCTTTGTTGAAATTCCCGAGTTCTGATAGCCATGTATCTATGAACGAAGTCAATTCTGATAGTCTTATAAATGCAATGAAAAACTTCAAAGGAAATGCATCACAGAAGTCTTACTTAATAAGAGCAGAAAGCCGCTGAGCAATAGCATGGTAGGACGGAATGCGGTACTCGTGCGTGAACGAATTGAACTGGCTCTTCACGGAAATACGGTAACGGTGTGGATGCTCGCGGCAAACACTTTCACGATGACCGATCGGGTACGTGACCACACTTTCACTTCAAGAGTTGTCAACATGAATTGTGTGAAGTGCAAGCGACATTTTCACTTGCCTTATATATCTACGATGGTATTTGAGTGATGTCAATTACTCGAAACGGTTGGCCGTAATTTTGAAGTAGCCACCCGACTCCTTGAATTGGATACTCGGGCATTTTTATGTTGCAAGCCAGACGAGCACGATAAAATTGGTTTCGTGGGGCAGTCCTTTATTCAGCTATTGAGGAGAACGTTGTTTAGCTACAAAATCGACGAAAGTTTCGAATATTTGTTGCTGAGCAGTTTCTAGAAATTATCAAGAAGGTTCAAGTTTTTCATGAAATCAATATGATACTGAATTAAAAGTAAAATAGCAACGTAAGAATGTAAGAGCAACTAGTGCTTTGCCAGATGTACTAGTCGCGAGCAAAATGGACACTCTCATTTCGCTTTGACTCCTTTTCGAGTGGACACGATTTCATCAGTGGTAATGGGATTGTTTATTTCACAATAGACAGAAATTTCATAAAAATCCTAAATTTACTGTTGCAAGACAATATTTACTTTTGTAAATTGCCGGATTAGAGGATTATTCTTCGCGGTGTAGAGGAAAATCTCCCGTGACATACGTCTGCTTTCCTGAAGAGAAACAAATGACTTTAATCTACTGGTCTGCTGCCTTAAAGGCACAGCTCACGATAAAATTCCACCACGGGATGAATTGAGGCACCCGCGTAGACCATATCTGGCACTATTAACTAGGTAAACGGCCAAGTTAGGGAGTTATAAAGGCTCAAAAACTGGCCCGTGTATATCCTCGGACGAGTTCCACCGGCATTGTAGAGGCTGCACCGATCACAAGGGAATCCATGTAGGAAGTTCAAACAACNGAAATCTCGTCCGAATACCCTTTCATGTTATTCCGTCATGGAAATCTCGTCCAATCTCAATTTCCCCTACTTTCGAGGAGCCATATTTTTTCTCGAAATCGGCAAATTCTCTTTATTTCTTCACTGCCGATGAACTATTCCCAATCTATACTTCCGCTTTTCGATTAGAAATTGGTACCTCAAAGTCATCGTGAACTGTGCCTAAAGGTATCCTTTTTTGGTCAATAAGTATGGGTTGGGAATAGTGCTACGGTGGTGAAGGATCGGCAAAATTCGCCGATTTTGTAAAAATAAGGCTCTTTAAAAGTAGCGATAATAGAGGTTGTACGAGATTATCATGCCGGAAATGATATTGAACGATATTCGGGCGGGATTACAGTTGTTGCAATCGTGCAAAGAGCTGACTACATCAAGACAAAACTGTCCAGAATTGGCCTTTCACTGCCGCTATAAGTCAAAACTGTGTAGACTTCCTACATGGGTTCCATTGCAAATGATGCAGCCTCTACAATGCCGTCGAAAGGTGTGGCTCACACGATAAAAGATTTTGCCCCTTACTGTACCCTATGCAGGACGTTTCTCGATCTGACATCGGCACATATGGTATCAGTAGGGCAAGAGTGACCTTGATGCTGTTGTAAAATTTCAGAAACCTTTATCGTGAACTGTGCCTTCAATAAATCAAATAAGAACTGTATTTTGAAGTGGAGATCAGTGTTGTGGATTCACAACCATATAGATGTCTATAGTAGAACTAGCCTTTACCAGTATGATAGTTAACATGCTAGTTCAACATATTAACCATAGGCATAACTTGACGTAAGTATCTCTTGAGTTGAGACCACAGGCATGACCTGGCGGTATCGTAAGTGTGCAATCAAGTAGGTAACTTAAGTTCTGCCGTTGGCGCGGTCCGCTCTTTCATCCCCCGAGCTTGAGTGCCGCCACGGGCCCCTAAGGTTCAGTGGCGATACGGTATCTGAGGACCGCCCACATATTGTGAATATAAACCCCGTGAATGTTCTATTATGGTCGATCTTTGTACTAGGCCTGTTAATAAACCTTTGTTACACGTCCTTACTACAACTTCCCATTGGTAATCCACCAAAACCAGAGTATTGAAGGCACAGCTCACGATTATTCTAAGATGTCTAGTTTGGGTGAAATAATGGGAGTTATGGCGCAGAATAGTATAAAAATATCAAAGGAAGCGCGGAAATCAGCGATTTCAGGGAATTCAAAAATAGTAGATGAGAGGGTTGTACGAGATTACATGTCTGCAACCGTATGGATGTCACCCAAATAAGCGTACTATTCGTCGGCTTCAATGTGATTGGTGCAGCCTTAACAAGGCAATCGTAATACTGCCACTTTTAGGTGTATACGTCAGTCGAGCTGATTTTCGAGTCCTTATAACAACTTTCGAGGTCATTTTTCGACCCGACAATGTTTCACATGCTACCCTTGGGGAGCACAGGTTCATCTAAAGAGAAATCTCAGAAATCATTATGACCGTGAACTATGCCCTTATTACTTCCTTGTTGAGCTTTAGCTGGCACGAGGAGCTCAACAAGGAAGTATCAGCTCGAAGCATCTGAATATAACACCAACATATAACACTTATTTACACCAGTTGCTTCATGGCTCATTTTTCGAAGCTAAAATGTAGAAACGTTTCCATGCTCACGAGTTCACTTTTTGGTTGAACATTGTCAGGGATTTTGAGGTTTTCGACAACCATTTTGAGTCGTTTCCCATTATAATCAGTAATGTCGCGAGGCCAGTCATCAGCTGGAGGTAGATACACCTTAATATGAAATATCAACGAATATTCAAGAAAAGGCCATGCACTTCTGGCGATGTTGTAGGACCATGAGTCATTGGTACTTAGCTACCCAGACCAAGAACTGCCTTTTGGAACTATTAAATCAATGAATCTACGAAGTTCTCCTGCTTTTCATGAAAAAGTCGTCAGGAATCTGGAAATCCTCCTGTTCGGAGTATTCGACTCAATATTCCAAGCCAAGTCAAGGCTCATAATCTAGTGGACGGCTTTCAGCGAAACAAGGTTCAGAAGGATAGAGCCATCACCGTTCTAGGAGTCTTATGTCTGTTTATTCTGAAAGATTGAAAACCTCAGTTAACGAATAGACTAATATTGCTATTATAAATCGATATTGCTCAATATCGATCAAGAACTATTAATGAAGAACCACTCTACAGTCATTCGGAGTCAGGTCATAAATACACTGGAGTTTTACCCTACAAACTGACACTACTCATGTCATTAGTTGTTGGCCGACGATATACAGTAGGCAGCCATTGTGCTTCTATCCTATGTTCTCATTCATCGACAGCCTGAGCGCTCGAGTTACTGCCTTATATATTAGAAGGAACTGCAGAATAGAGCTTGGCTCTTCATATCACCACCTTGATCGTATACATGAGTTTTGCGGACGGACAGACCGACAAACCGACATAGCGACACACCGACAAACTTACAAACCGACACACCTATGTAGTTTCTGCTTTATAAATGAGAGAGATATAAATTGTGAATGCGCGGTCAGTTGCGCTACTAATTGGTTTTGTTCATTGTTCCGCACCCTTCAATCAGAGTAATTCAGTGTTAGCGTCCTAAAGTCCCCACGACATCTGCTTCCCTCTTTTTTTCCTTAAACAACACTACAAGAAGACAGATTTTTCGGCCAATCACTCATATACACACATGTACAGGGTGCGCCATAAATATGGTAACAAAATAATTTGGCTACAGAAACAGCAGTTCACAGTGATACACAGTAAATTTATGTGAACTATTTACTATGCATAACCGTCACCTGTACTAATTATAACTTGAAGACGCTTCGG